GCACTGAACGCCATTCACCAGGAGTCAGTTAACACCTTCATGAACTCCCTTCCAGTGAATGGCGTACTCGGAGAAATACCACCACCCATAGCAGACAACGAGCTCGAGCTGCCTCGAGAGACCCGCGTGACCCTGACACAACTCAGGTCTGGATATTGTAGTAGGTTAAACTCCTACCTATCCAGACTAGACCCCAGCATACCCAACGTATGCCCGGCATGTGGAGAGTCCCCGCACGACACTAACCACCTCTTCACATTCCCCCTCAAACCAACTCATCTAACCCCCCTCTCCCTTTGGTCCAACCCCGTCGAAACAGCTCGTTTCCTGGGCCTACCTCTAGATGACCTCGGCGACTTAGACTAATCAAGCCTGTGCCTAAGCGGGGTTAGCGAACCGCTGCAACAACAACAACAACGGCATACAGACCCTACAACCCCTGCGGGTTATGGGCTCAAGAATTTACCCGCGTTAAGGCATGGCTGTCGTAAGAGGTGACTAAAATCCAATAGTTCCCGCGACAGTCGGGTCTTTAAGCCCGAACGACCCGGATTTTTATCCGGCCAAGGACTATCACTCCCGCAATATTCCCCAAAAAGTACTTTGGGGAATAGTTTTGCGGTTACAAACACAACAACAACAACGGCATACAGACAGGCACTGAATGCTATTCATCCGGAGTCATTCAACACCTTCAAAGACTCCCTTCCTGTGAATGGCGTGCTCGGAGATAAACCACCACCACTTAGGCCTGGATACTGTAGCAGGTTAAACTCCTACCTATCCAGACTCAAGCCCTGTATGTCCAACGTATGTTCTGCATGTGGGGAGTCTCCGCACGACACTAACCTCCTCTTCACATGCGCCTCAAACCGACTCACATCGACCGGCTCTCCCTCTAGTCCAATCCCGTCGAAACAGCTCAAAATTGTAAAATTTTTCTATTTTGTTTACAAGAGAAAAGTCAAACTTTCCCATTTAAAAATTGCTGCCCGAATAATGTTTCATGAGCTTTTTGGCAGTTGCACTATTCCGCTCGATCATGACCTGCTCTACTCTATTTTCAGTCTCAATAAACAAACCTATTATAGAGTTTATTCGTTTCTGTTAAATAAAAACCAGCTGATTTGTGATTATATGATTGAATTTTAGTCAACAAAACAAAATCGATTTAAAATTAACATAATATTTACACTTTAATATGAATGATATAATAACAAAATAAGTGTCCAAACATAATTTTGTTAAATTAAATTTAATGATATTCACGTTTCAATTAAATAGTTGAGGTACTTATTAAATGAGAATGCAGTGGCAGTGGTGCTGAATCATTGCCCAAATATCATCAAGCCCACGTTGATAAATTAGAAGTTAGGAATGTTGAAGGCATAGAATGAGAATATATTATTATTTTTTGTACAACGCAAATCGAATTTGGATTCCTTTAATTTAAAGCAGTGTCGACCAAATCAGCCGCAAAACATTGCGAAGCAAAGTTGTTGCTCCGGTCACATTGACGATAGTGCATTCATTATTAAGCTTCCGGAAGCGACGAGGATGCACAAAATGAAATACTATTGGCATTTAGAAGAAAAATTAAAATTCTTTCTTGGTGTTTATTGAACTAAATCGAGATAACAATGTTGAGTTAATATG